CCTCTAAGGATAATGGTTCGTACTCACGACTATCTTTGTGTTCGTGTTTTTGGTATTTCTTCAAGGGGCCATGGTTCAGTATTCCATAGAAAATCGCCATCAAAAATCCAAGTGGTAATGAGAAGGCGATGGTGGTTCGAGGTGAAACGCATTGCCACACTGTTGAACCTACGAAAATAAGAATATCAAATCAGAAAATGTTGGTCTAGATGTAAGCTATAATACTTGCCATAATTTGATAAGATCAATAATCAATATCATCAATTGATTGTACTAATCACAKGGAGCACAGGCTCTTTATCAGTGGTYCTTATTTAACCACCCTCCCCTCCCCTCTAYATTTTACCGTTATTTTACGATTTTGTATGATATTATTGAATCGTGAATTTCTTACTTGGATTCGGCAACSAAATCACACAAAACTATCACATCCTGTTATTGATGCATACARCAATCCCCTGGAGAAGTTTCAGCCGATTTGGTTGAGTTTATTAAGTGTACTAACCAGTGTAAAGAAATGCTCCCAATACGTTCGACATACTCTGTCCCAAATTGAATGCAGTCGAGTTCTTATCTATTTCATCATAGCAGCCCAAYAGCATCACCAGTACAGAATTRGCCAAGCCAATTGCAGTACCAATCAAGCCTACTCCAACGAGTCGAACAGTCACATTGTCAACTGCTACTAACATTATRTATGCTWTAAGCCCAGCCAAGCCAGCGAGGATCATAGTTAGGAGAAATGAGATTTTCCTTGTCAGAGAGGGACTGCATATTTTAGCGAGCATGCTCGCAACAGCGTATAGTATGATCACAACGGTCGACGGTATTAGTGTTCCTGCCACAAGATCTTCTGTGGCGATTATCACGATCACGCTTGGGAGGGCTTCTGTCGTGGAGAAGCAAAATACACTGACCGCGATGAGATTAGTGTACTTCATAACCGTTGTTCTCTCTATGCAGCACTGTGCTGAAAGAAATTAGACATTAGACTGCTATTGTCTTTTCTTTTCATATTGCTCAAAACTAACTTACCTTMTTTTTAATTCAAAATCACTGTCCACAATGAATCTGCTATAACTCCTAAAGGGACCTCTAGTGCTGTGCTCAAGGACYGCTGATGTTTGAATAATTCTCCTTTATTTGAGGTGTTGCTTATTGGAGCATTCTTTATCAAATTGATATACTAAGATATCAAGAGAATATAAAACAGCAAATCTCATGAAAGGAAGCTTTGTTGCCTTCGTTTGCTTTATGATATTCACGTTCAAACCAAAACCAAGGTCTGGTAAGCATTCGCTGTGGTGAATTAAGCCGTGAAGTTCAATCATGCAAACACTCCGATATGATTTGACTATCACGAAACATGTATAAAAATGTCACTTACACTTGGATTGTTTAGGCCCAAAATGATGACAGCAATTTTGACTTTTTAATTTACGCTATTAAAGAACTTAAACGCGCTTAGTGCCGGCTTTCAATCGTTCAATGAATCGCAAAACAAAGCTGTAGTACACTCTCCTCATTAGCATACCTTCACTTAATCAACTGTGTGGTATTATGAACAATTATTTCAMTACCTCAATWTATAATTTGATTAAATTTGATTTTCTATGTATTTTTACTGTAATTGACCATTCCGAAATTCAAAAGGAGACTGGGAACGAGTGTGAAAATATTACATTC